GAAGAAGCAGAGCAGAAAGCAGTGACTAGGAAAGGCAGCTTGAGTGTTGCTGGGTGCAGCTGCAAGTCAAGGAGAGCAGCAAGGGCTGGAGTTTATCACTCCCCATTCAGGTAGACATTTATCTCCACCAAAAGGTCAGTGGTGCCAGTTGATTCAGGTGAACAGGAACCAGGTACACAGAGGGACCTTTGGCCACCCCTTTCCACCTCCATTTGGGACTTCACAGAAGAGGAAAGAACTCCACTTGTTTGCTTCTTGATGGAAAACTTTGAAAACATCTGGGAAGGCTCTGAATAGAGCTGTAACTATAATAGAATCCCAGACTGGCTTGGGTTGGAAAAGACCTCCAAGGTCCTCTAATACCAACCCTCCTGCATGGGCAGGGACACCTCCCACCAGCCCAGGTTGCTCCAAGCCCCATCCAACCTGCCCTTCAACACTGCCAGGGATGGGGCAGCCACAGCTTCTCTGGGCAACCTGTTCTAGGGTCTCACCACCCTCACAGAGAAGAATTTCCTCCTCATGTCTCCCCTAAATGTCCCCTCTTCCACTTTTAATCAATTCCCCCTTTTCCTGTCACTTCATGCCCTGACAAAAAGCCCCTCCTCAGCTTTCTTCTAACCACATCAATCCTAAGCATGGATTGAAGATCAGAAACCTGGAATGAGCTATGAAGTTCAGCTCCCAACTGCCACACAGACCCAGGTCCCATTGGTAGCTGCTCAACTGGATTCAGCTGGGATATTAACTCCAATGCAAGGACGTGCAGGACCTGGAAAGGGCTGCCCAGGGAGGTTGTTGATGCCCCATCCCTGGAGGTTTTTAAGGCCAACCTGGATGAGGTTTTCTGCAACCTGGTCTAGGGGTAGGGCTCCCTGCTCATGGTAGGGGGGTTGGAACTTGATGATCTTTAAGGTCCCTTCCAACCTTAATGATTCTGTGATTCTATTCCAGGATGAAGTTCAGTATTCCTGAGCAATACATCACCTCTGCAACATTCCCCAGCCCTTGGCTTTGGGCTGGTTGATAAATACTTGTCATCACTTGCTCTGTCAACACTAATTGCATGTTCAACCAGGCTCCAGCAGCACAGGCTTTTTTGCTTTTTTCTTCCTTTTTATTTCTTTTCAAATGTTAATAAATACAGCCCAGGATGGCAGTAATGATTTCTACATCAAGGAGCCCAGTGAAATGATTTGCTTTGAATTTCACCACTGCAGAGTTTATCATCAGAGATTTTTCTATTTTTAATGTTAAGATTTCTTTTTGTGAAAAATTAATAGAGCTTCCAACTCAGCTCCAAGAGCTTTTGTTGGCTCCTGTAACGACATGGGGAGTCTGTGGGGATGAACACACTCATGAGTAAATAGACACAAAGATGAGTCTTCATCCTTCCAAGTACTACAGAGCATGACCTGGTGCACACACAGCAGCTTCAAGACAGGCTCTAAGTGAAGGTCATGTATGGGCATAAGGGGAAATTCAGCCAAGTGGTCCCTACACACAGAATTCCAGACTGCTTTGGGTTATAAGGGATCTTAAACATCATCTAGTTCCACCCCCCTGCATGGGCAGGGACACCTCCCACCAGCCCAGGCTGCTCCAAGCCCCATCCAACCTGCCCTTCAACACTGCCAGGGATGGGGCAGCCACAGCTTCCCTGGGCAACCTGGGCCAGGCTCTCACCACCCTCACAGCAAAGAATTTCCTCCTCATGTCTCACCTCAATCTCCCTCTTCCAGTTTTCATCCATCCCTCCTTGTCCTCTCCCTCCCTGCCCTTGTCCCAAGTCCCTCCCCAGCTTTCCTGGAGCCCCTTCAGGCACTGGAAGCTGCTCTAAGGTCTCCCTTGAGCCTTCTCTTCTCCAGGCTGAACCCCCCAACTCTCCCAGCCTGGCTCCAGAGCAGAGCTGCTCCAGCCCTCCCATCATCTCTGTGGCCTCCTCTGGACTCTCTCCAGGAGCTCTATATCCTTCTGAACACAGTTCTCCAGGTGGGGTCTCACAAGTGAGGAGCAGAGGGGGAGAATCCCCTCCCTGGCTCTGCTGGCCAAGCCCAGGACACGGTTGGTTCCTGGGCTGGCAGTGCATGTTGCTGGCTCACGTTGAGCTTCTCATCAACCAACACCTCCAAGTCCTTTTTATCAGGGCTGTTTTCAATCCATTTAAATCCACCCAACCCTACCCATCTACTCCCTTATTCACCCAAAGCTGAGGCACATAATAGCTCTGGGCACAGAGTAAGGAAGGTGGGGAGTTGGTACCTCCAGCACATCCCTCATCGTGTCCCCATCCCTCGTGCCACAGCTGGAAGGGGACAAGGTGTCACTGATAAAACACCAGTGTGACAAAAGAGCTGTGATGGAGCACAATGAAACACAAAATAAAATACTGGAAGCTCCTGGATCTGTGCTTCATCTACGTTCTTTTGTCCCTCAAGCAAAGTAAGAGATTCAAAAGGGTGTAAAATCACTGCAGTATTAAGGCCTGACATGGCTGGAGTGAAAGACAAGTAAAAAACTAAAGAGAATCAGTCCTGTTTACTTCTGAACCTACCAAAGTCCAAATTCCCTGATTTACACCCCCATCTCCCTTCTTCCAGCTCATCCCATGAAACCATCCAAATATCCAGAGACCT